TTACAGAATGCATTCGGTACGTAGCACTTTTTGCTCTGGTGATTCAGCGACATTGAAAATACACTTTTTCTCCCAAATAGATATGTAAATTAATTCCAATTACTTCTCCCCTTTCGAAAACCTTAAAACGCAAACCAAAATGTGCATATAGTATATATGTAGTACTTTTAGGGATTATGTAAAGTATGTATGTATATAAAGTGGTGTTACCAGAGCATCTAGACGGAGAGCTCATGTCCAAAAAACCCATCATTCTTCAGATCGATTGAAATTTTTTGTGAGCTTAGCTTGTTATCTATATATATAAATGTGAATGTCTGTTTGTTTATTACCTTATAACTTTTGAGCCACGACACGGAATCGCGCGAAACTTGGCAGACTTATTTGCTTTTACCCCGAGAAGGTTATAGGTATGGTCTCATTTGAAAATATGTCGTAAATTTCGCAAGGGGGCGTGGCACTGCCAATAGACCTGCAAATATTTAATCAGCTAAAACTTCGGAACCATAAGTCGAAAGAATTTGCAATTTGGTACGAAGACATGCCTACGGGAGGCGCTTATTGTAAGGTATATATAAAAGAGAGCGCGGCACATGAACTTGAAATTTGGTATGCAAACATATCTATGGTAGGTGCTTATAGTAAGGTATATATAAATTAGTTTGTAAAAGGGGGCGTAGCACATAACATGGGCGTGGAAGTTCTTATCAGCCATAACTTCGGAATCACAAATCACGTGACCCCTTTAATTCCTTCTGATATGCCTTTAGAATTTAAAAAACTTCAGTTTCCAGTTCACTTAGCTTTTTCAATGACAATAAAAAAGGATGCCTTAAAATAAAACCAACTCTTTATCGAAAATAAAATTTATGATAATTGCATTGGAAAATGCATCTATGTTAATAGATGCATTGAAGTACTAAAACGTGCTGCGGAATAATATTAGAGTAAGAAATTAGATAGTTAAAATTTAATTATTACAATACAACTTTGGTATTTCAACTATTATATAATTTATTAAAACTATTTTATTATAAACATATTATTGCTTTTGATTTCATAGCACCCCAGCTAAACAACTATTCTACGTTATTATGCTATCACGGCTATATTAAAATTCGAGAAGAAATGAAATATAACATCGTTACATAAAAAATTTTTCATATTTGTATAAATACGTGCGGTGAAACCCGCGGGTAAAAGCTAGTATGCATATAAATTGATATCAGGAGGGCTGGCTGCTGAACAACGTACTTCATATGACTTGAAATTTGGACAGAATTTTAACTAAAGTATATAGAAAACTAGCTTTTACCCGCGGGTTTCACCCCACCCCCGAAGGAATTATAGGGGTCGTGTGGCTTGTGGTTACGAAGTTATGGCAAAAAATTCCAAGCCTATGTTAAGTGCTACGCCCCTTTTACAAACTCATTTATATATACCTTACTATAAGCACCTACCATAGATATGTCTGCATACCAAATGTTATGTTTATGTGACTTATGGTTCCGAAGTTATAACTGGTAAAATATTCCACGCCTTTGGGATTTGCCGCCCCCTTCCACAGTCTTATTCATATATATACCTTACTATAACCACCTACCATAGATACCTGAATACAACATTTCAAGTTCATGTGACTTATGTTCCGAAGTTATGACTGACTAAAAATTCCACGCCTATGTTATCTGCCACGCCTCCTTTTACAAACTCATTTACATATGCCTTAAGATAAGCATCTACTATAGATATGTTTGCATACCAAATTTCAAGTTCATGTGACTTACGGTTCCGAAGTTAGAGCTGATTAAATAATTCACGCCCCTGGGAGGTGCCACGCCTCCTTTTCCAATACCGCCAATTTTTTCCCATGAGTATGGAATTAATTTTATTTATCTCGACAGCAAGTTCCAATGCTCTACCACAAATATTTCAAGAGATATACAATATGAAAATATTAGTAAGTATAGGAGGTGCCACGCCCTGTTTTCCAGCATTGCCCATTTTTCTCTATGCCTATAACCTTCCCGGGGTAAAAGCAAATAAGTGTGCAAAGTTTCGTGCGATTCCGTGCCGCGGTTCAGAAGTTATAAGGTAATAAGCAAACAGACATTCACATTTATATATAAAGGTGAATTCAAGTTTGCCTGCCAATTCTTATGGTCTTAAAGTAATTCCAGCCTATGTTGAAAGTGCATTGTTGCAAGTATAAGTCAACATACTTCAGACATGGTGTCCGTGAGTGCGGGCGCGGGGCAGAAAACGTATATCGTTAAAATGCCATGGCGTATGAGTTACACAGTGCGACAGCCATTTTACACTTTTGAAGCGACCTAGCAGAGATTGGTCATCTGGTCGAGTTATACACGAAACGGCCATTAAAAAGTTTCTAACACCCCCAAAATCTGGATTTAAGGCCAAAAAACCGTTTTTTCAGTTTCTTCTTAAAAAAAATTAATTAAAAAACCAATTTTCAACCGATTTCAAAATTCTCAACGGTTTTGGGTAGAGAATTGTTGACACTTTCGAAATATATATAGTGTTTTATTCATTTGAAAAAAGTATGATATGTTTTTAAGCCAGAAGTTGAAATTTTTGGAAATTTCATCCGGTTTTCCGGTTTCGACGTCATTTTTTTGCCACTAATTGACAATGAATGAACCTCTTTGGGCATGTGTCATCGAGAGGCATTCATTACTTAATTATACCACTTTTTTATTTTTGGAAAGGACTTAAAGTTTTCAAGTTATGCAGCATAATCCAAAATTTCATGTTTTGGTCTCAAACGTCCTATAGGGGTACTGTGCGTAAGTTAAGAAATTGGTTAAGTTTAAGGACATTGATGGTTTTTTAAGTAACAAATAGTAATTTTTAGCGATAGTTAGATTAAAAACATATATATCAGTAGTCGCAAACAATAATGACCTAAGTCGAGATATGTCGGTTTGTCCAATTAATCTTCGTTTAACAGAGCAATAATGCACTTTTATTTTTAATGTTTATCATATACTTGATTTAGAATGAGGGTTTGGTAAATATATACTACTAATTCGAGACTTTGGGCGTTTTCTGCAACCTTTTTTATGGCATTATTTCTGACTTTGAACTGAGAAACGATACCGATATGAATACAATTTTTTCCTGTAAAGCTGATGAAATCGGCCACCTAGTTCGTAGCTAGACTGACCAAGATTATCCAAATGAGAATGCCAAAAATGGATCTTGATGGACATTTTGCATACAATTTCTAAATTAGTTTCCGAGAATTCTTGAACCACTTCCTTGTATATTGAACTTTCTTCATTTACAAGATAGCTATTACCCATAGAGATGAAACTCAGCTGTATTTTCTACTTGTTTCATCAATCGTCAGATTGCGAATCTGGTTATTAATGCAGTCACTAAAACGTCATATTCTTAATAAACTTCGCGTAATTAATTACACGGGATCATTCGCTCCAAAAAAATTGAAATGTGTGATAAACACAACCGGTTTTGTTACGTGTGTGGCTTGTTTATTGGCAAGCCACATCGCTCGGAGTTTAAAAAGAATCAAGCAGTGGTTCACTCCTTCAACGACTTGTTTAAACTCTCATACGTTGAAAGTGCTTGGTATGAACCCGAAAGTGTTTGCTCGACGTGCTCTGCAGTACTAAAGAAAGTGAAATCCGGTAAGTGTTATATCCAGCATTTGTTATTTGAGACTCCCATGACTTGGCATTATCAACCGTATCACAAGTCGAAAGATTGCTACTTCTGCCAAACAGATACCGTTGGCCATCACTACAAAACTCGCAATCTCATAAAATATGCTAATGTGTTGACTGTATCGAGACCAACCCCGAAAGAAAACACAGGGGAGCCAACTGCAAACGGACAAGCAGACCCTTGCAGCGAGTTCCCGATTGAAAAAAATGAGGACTCGTCGTATGTTCCAAATCGGGCAGTAGTAAAGAAACGACATTTTATATCTAGCCAAGATTATAGTGATCTTAGTCGAGATTTGAATCTGTCTTATAGAGAAACAGAGATCCTGGGTTCACGAATAAAGCAGTGGAATGTAGTGGATGATGACTTTAAAGCAATGATGGGCAAAACGCTACTCGCGAGTAGCGTCTGCGTCGCAGCGCTTATACGTATCCAGAAACGACGCAGCGAATTTCACTTCAGTCTGCTTTCAGTTTTCATGAGAGTAACACCACGCTTCGCCGTTGAATATTTTTATTCGTAATTTTAGCGCGTTGGTGCCACCTATATATGTAACAATGCCCAAAATGGCTGCGTATGAGTGCCAATTATAGTTTTTGGTTTTAAGAAAAGCCAATAATGCCCAATGCTTGTTACGTGGTAATACGACTACTTGGAATCGTACTTTTAATATAAGGCAGCATTATTTGTCATGGTAAAAAAGTCAAACTGCCGAACTGTGTAAACCAATTTAAAGTGTTTTGTAATGGGTTTTATGTATATATGTATGTACGATACGGCAATTTAATATATTGAGTATACTTAATTGAATACTGAGTTTTTTACAAAGTTTAGAAATTTTAAATTCGTGAATTTTGTTGTTGAATAAACCATCATTTTTTAAAACATTAGTTTAATGAAATTAAATTAAAAAAACTTTTCATGCGCGTACATATGTACTTATAAAAATTAATTCATAATTCATTATTTGAAATTATTTCTTCATTATTTTTTTATTATATTTTATTATTTTCGTTTCATGTTCATAATACAAATTAAATATAAATTTGTAAGAGCGTTTTCTAACACGCGCAAAAAACGACGCACTTTTGTACAATATAGAAAAGTGGCAACTGTTACTCAGCGCGATTCACGAATACCATGACAAAATGAGACTGTATTGGTGTGCCCATCTATGCTTTAAAGTGACATTCACACGAAACTTAGACTTATCGTCATTCGAAGAAGTTTTTAAGGCTGATGATATAGACAATAAACTTGTATATTGTATATGTGGATGGATTGTTTGCTGCCTTCGATCACGTGTACTGCGCAAAAGATTGGCGATTATTTCTGGACGGTTCTTGCAAAAGTAAGTATTTTATTTATCATAAGTGTGAGAAAACCAAAATTAAGCAATATTAAAAAATTTACGTTTAATTCACGAAATTCGTAGGTCTGAAAGTAGTATTAATTCACAACGAGAATCAGTTGCCAACAGTTCCAATAGCATACGCTACTGATATGAAAGAGACGTATCAAACGATGGAAAAGATTTTACGATTAATCAATTACAATAAACATCAATGGCAAATTGTCTCAGACCTCAAAGTTCTGACAATACTTCTGGGAATGCAAGGAGGCTACACTAAGCATCCGTGCTATTTCTGCGAATGGGACAGTCGTGCCAAGGATCCTTACAAGTGTAGCGTGTGGCCTCCGAGAAAGGGGTTTCAAATTGGAATTAAAAATGTTCTCAATATCCCATTAGTAAAACCTGATAACATTATCTTGCCGCCATTGGACCTAAAGTTGGGCTACATGAAACAATTTGTAAAACGACTCGACAAAAACAGCGAGTCATTTCTGCACCTGGAAACAGTTTTTCCCAAACTTAGTGATGCTAAAATAAAAGAAGGTACCTACTTTCGAAGAATTTGCCGACTATTAATTTTTTCGAAAACGCATCTGCAACCATTTTAATTCTTTACTTTACAGGCATTTTCATCGGACCCCGGATTCGCAAGCTGATGATTGATGAGAATTTTGTCGAAAAACTGAACGAAGTAGAAAAGAGAGCATGGCTGAGTTTTATCTCTTTATGTCATAACTATCTTGGAAATGAAAGAAGTTCTAATTATAAGGAAGTGGTTCAAGAGTTTTTGGAAGCTTATGGAGAAATGGGATGCAAAATGTCAATCAAGATACATTTTTTGCACTCTCACTTGGATTTCTTCCCGGATAATCTGGGTCAGTTTAGCGACGAGCAAGGTGAACGATTTCACCAGGAAATCTCGGCAATCGCTAATTACTGCTGGTCGCTCAAACGTGAAACCGACGACCTGTATTATAAGCGCAAAAGATCCAGGAAACATTTTTACTTCGAATTGGTTGAGGTATGTAGTTAGCGAGCATCTTAAAGTGGTTTTTTTTTGTATCTTGATTGACATTTTGCATCCCATTTCTACATAAGCTTCCAAAAGTAATTAGCTAACGTCTTAACCATTGTTAAACATTTCCCATTGTTTTGTATAAAGTGTTCTAATGAGTGCAAAATTTTATGAAAAATATATATGTTATCAATCTAACTATCGCTAAAAACGACTGTTTGCTATCTAAAGGTTCACTTGCGCAGCCAAATTTATATTTTTGACTTAGAGTTAACATTAAATGAAGGCTGAAACTCGTACGGTTTAGACAACTTTTCAAATTAACATTGAGTTAAAAAGATAACTGGCTGTCGTGCAATGATTTTTTCATGTAAAATGCTAAAAATGGGGGTTTTTGTGAAATTTTTGTATGGGGAACCCCACAGGTAGGGTCTTAGGGGGGGTTCCACTGGCATGGGTGGGTCGGCCCTACAAAGTTAGTGGGGGTCGGTCATACATTTAAATACGATTGGGGCACTCTAAATGGGTCAACTTAGGATTTTTCAAGCTTTGGCGCTCAAGGTCAAAAGTACGAAGTCGGGACATCAGAATTGGTTTTAGAGGTATGCTTCCTTCGGCAAAGTATCTTATTTTGATCCCTAAAATACGATTTTCCTTGTCACTTGGGTGATTTTCAAATCGACCCGCCTTCTAATACATAGTACATAGTACATAGTGTAGGGCGCTTGAGACCAAAAAATTTGATTTTGGATTATGCTGCATATCTTGAAAACTTGAAGTCCTTTCCCAAAAAAAAAAACACTTGTGTAATTAAGTAGTGAATGCCTCTCGATGACACATGCCCAAAGAAGTTCATTCATTGTCAATTAGTGGCAAAAAAATTACGTCGAAACCGGAAAAACCGAAAAAATTTTCAAAAAATTCAACTTCTCGCGTGAAAAACATCTCATACCCCTCGCAAATGAACAAAACACTGTATATATTTCGAAAGTGTCAACAGTTCTCTGCCCAAAACCGTTGAGAATTTAAAAAACGGTTGAAAATAAGATTTTTAATGATTTTTTTTTCAACGAAAACTCTGAAAAAAACGGTTTTTTGGCCTTAAATCCAGATTTTGGGGGTGTTACAAATCCTTTGAAGGGTGTTTCGTGGATAACTCGACCAGATGAACAATCTCTACTAGGTCGCTTCAAAAGTGTATTCAATTTTGTTTTTTTTGTAGCACTGTGTTATCTATCAACATCAATATTTAGTCCGGTTATGCTTCCAAGCTTGTGCTCATTCACCTCGGTTTGTTCTTTATTTGCAGATTTTGCGAATAGTTGAAAATTCGTACAAACTTTTACGGAAATAAAAACAGTATTGCTTTTGTTTACGTAAATAACTAAATACAAAGAGAGAAATTTCTTAAAATTTTCCGCAGGCATTTCGGGAGGGGTTTGAACCCCCAAAACCCCTACCTGCGTTCGCCCCTGACTACGGGTAAAGAATTTTGCTTTCAGCTGCCATTTGTTAGTATTTTATACCTACATAGAAGGTAAACTTCAACCCTGCCTCTAGGCAGCGAGACCCATGTACACACCTACAAATCATGCATCGCGTGCGTGGAAGTCAACTCGCGGGAAATTCCCCCGATTTGCAGGGAATTTCGGTTTAGGTGGCAATCGGGGATTGGAGAGTTTCAAGCGGAGAATTAGGTATGTGTGTTATGTTGGCAACTTAAAGTAACCAAATTAGACGACTATGTTAATTTTTAACCATTTGTCGCTTTTTGGAGCGAATTTTTTTCAATTTGAATCCCAATATCTCCACAACAAGACTTTCCTCAGATATAAGCTATATACCAAATAAAAGCTAAGGTTTTAGGCTGCACTTGAAAAAATCTAGACTAAAATCGACTTACCAGTTTTTGAGAAAGTTCCCGAAATATGTGTTTCCAGCAGGCCAATTTTTAGTTTTCCGGCGATAACTATATGACATATTTATATTTTATAAACGCAAAGGACAACATTAGATAGTCTGTCTTAACACCTTTGTACTGATATCCACATCAATGCGTTGGTCAATGGTATGAAATTAGTAGTGAGGCCTCAGTGGTAGTTTAAAAAATAGCTTTTTTCGAATTTTAGGCACCAGCCACGCGCAAATCGGTATACGAATCGAAACATTCTGAAACAAAACCTTCTTCGCGATTCTGTCGGTGCGAATCTGTTCCGATAAAAATTACAACAATGCCGACCATAATTTTAAACGAGGAACCACACACTTGTACGATTTTGCTGCAGCGATTTATTCGAACATTCACAGTTCTTCCTTTGCTCGTGCCGAAATCGCAGACTGCCGCGTTTTGAGAACGAAAAATGCCAATAGAAGGATTTTACAATATTAAATCAAAATTGAACGTAAGAAAGCAAAACATATTTGATGTAGAAATGGGTAGGTTCAGAAGGCGCAGAAGTTGAGCAACCGTTGCTAAAAAAATCAGTGATCATAATGCGCCTTCTGAATTCAAAACCCACAACATGTTGTCTCAAATGATCATAAAAATATTATGATTATCTAACACGCAACTGTTCAGTTGATCAGAAGTGCAAAACAACGCGTTCAGAAGGTGCAATCGCAACAGTTATTGAGCTATTGCGCCTTCTGAACGTGCCTAATGTTAAGAGTTTTATTTTTGTTGAAAAATACTTTTTGTTTGTCTATAAATTGTCAGTTTTTGCTGCGATGTGTGCGTACTTGCGTTTTCGAAGCAGTAAAGTCTGAAGCATCAAAACGGCGCGGATTCGTTGCGACAGAATTGCATAGGTGTGTGGATGCCTTAATTCCTGAAAGTTTGAAAAAAAATAAATGAAGGTACGTACAGAGGCTACACACATCGCAGAGCATCTCGTAGTGGATACACGAATCAAAATGAATATAGCTCTATATCTTTCCAACTAGTAGCCGGAACTCAATATATAAGGTATCGTTAGAAACCTAACACTAACTATGTAGGGTGTACCCACATACCCCCTTAAATCGGCAAAAGGAAAAAAATGTTTTTTCTTTCCCAACCCTTTAGCCTAATTTTTACGTGAACGGATAATCGTTTATGTAACTTTTATATGTTTTCTAGACACACTCTGCAAGGCCTTTCTAACGATACCTCATACATGTCCAATGGACATCTGGATAAAAACTTCCAAGTCTCGTGTATATATAAGCGACTCATTTCAGCATGCTATTGTGGCTGCATTTTTCACTCGCGCGCACTGCCGTCCGCTGTGATAAGCGAGTCATTTCAGCATGCTACTGTAGCTGTTTTGGTCACTCGCGCGCACTGCCGTGCGCTGTGATAAGACAAACCCAAGTAATTTTGACCGCGAACTGAGCTATGTATAATGTACCTATATGATTGATATTGACTAGAAATGTTTATGTAGATACAATTTCACTTTTCTGCTTTAAGTGATATTTTTAGACAATATCTTTTGCTTCATTTTTTCCAGAATCGCAGAAGATGAGTGGGAAAATCCACATCCTTGCAATAAAGATCCTGATCTGTTGGAGAACAAGTGGGGCCTACTCAATACCTTTTATTTGACAGCGGCCTCCATCATGCAGGCTGGTTGTGATATATTGCCAAAGTAGCACTATAATCTTTATGTTATCTTTTCGTTTCTTCTATCGTAGTTGTAAATGTTTCTACATATTTTCACAGAAGTGCACCGTTCCGCACATTCACGGCAATGTGGTGGATAATTGCAGTTATAATACCCAACTCTTACACTGCTAATTTGGCTGCATTTTTGACCAGCTCAAAAATGGAGGATAGTGTTACAGACATCAAGAGTCTGGCGGAGCAGACAGCTATAAAGTTTGGCACTATGGAAGGTGGCAGTACGTATACGCTGTTTGCCGAGTCGAACGAGACTGTATATCGTCTGGCCTTCAATATGATGAACAATGAAGATCCCTCGGCGTACACCAAGGATAATAAAGAAGGAGTGGAACGAGTGTTAAAAAATAATGGATCATATATGTTTCTAATGGAGACAACTAGCTTGGAGTACAATATTGAGCGCAATTGCCAGCTCCGCATAGTAGGCGAGAAATTCGGAGAAAAACATTACGCCATAGCAGTGCCTTTTGGTAAGTGTTTAAAACATATAATTTAGAGTCTAAAAATCTAAACAAACATCGATGCATCAGAAACATCGATGTTTGCTATATAATACATCGATTTATTTTTGCTGTGCTTCATAATTTTTCATTAAAGAAATCTTATTAGGGTTACATGTTAGCTAAAGAATTTTAGAACGTGCTGAACAGTTTTCTGTGGTTCATAATTATTCAAAGAACAGTTAATTTGAAGCAGTTTCATCGAAAAAATTTGGAATTCCATACCCGCTCTCTATAGTAGGGGAGCCCAAGAGAGCCGAGCATTGGGTAGCTGATCAGAATAATAAAAAAAATTTGACAGGTGGATTTACTCGAGCGAGATTAAGAAATGGTGGGTTAACTACATCCTGAAAAGTGTGCATTTCAATAATCTGACGATTTGAGCGTGACACAAGGGATTGGGAGGGTCGCAAACTTGCAAAACGAAACGTTACCTTGACATTCTCGAGCGCGATTAATTTTTTTTATTATGAAGCAAACAGCTCAAGGATAATGGGAAGTATATCGTCCCTGAAATATAGAAACAGTGTAAATGCCATATACACTATTATTTGATAATCGCATCATCGGATAGACAATCCTTTACCCTATTAGAAAAATCTTTAGTTTTCTTAAATATCTTATTCGAAATTTTATAATAACAATGTAGTGTAGTGTGCCCGACCCACACTTAGCACCTGCGGTTCATATTGCTAAGTCGGCGTGTTTGTTGTGATCTTCCTGTGTGGCATACTTACCAGTGCACTTGATGCCACATGCGGAACACGCGTCACGGCTAGCACTATCGTTGAGCGTACGGCGCCGCATGAGGTACACTTGATGCTTGCTTTTGCAAGAGCAAGATCAGATTACCGAGCGTACATATGTATGTGGGTCAGCGCCACGATCCAGAAAATAAAGGTCGCGCCATTCGCGGACCGCTAACCCTCTCTTCGTCCATTGTGCAAGAAACATCGATTTTTATTAATTTGAATCGGCATCCTTACAATAAATTATGTATTCATAGAAAGTCCATAAAATACACCAATAAAAATTTGGTGCCTTTTCAAATTCAAAACTTGGCAATACTGCCTTTTGTTCGATGCTTCTTCTTTTTCTTGTCGAGTTCGTCTTGCTCTCTCATTCTGGTATATTTTGACGTCACGGCCAGTTGCTCTCAGCTCGATAGGCGCAATCTTGTATTCTATAATTCTTGGGTCAGCGCACATGTACCACATGTATGTACATAAACATGTCAATGCAAAATAGTAAGTAAGCATTTTGATTAGAAGTAGGGGAAATAGGGAGTGACCAATGTGATTGGTCACTCATAGAAATAAAAATTTAGATTTTAAACATATAAAAGACGGCGTTGAGCCGAAATAAAGTCATTCTTGTGATAAGACTCAAGCATGTATGTATTATCAGAATCAAATCGTGCATTTTAATGTAAGGACCAAATCGGCTGGAGAGCTAAGAAAATACTCACAGCCTGACAGGGAAATAATATATTGAATTCCTGCCCTAAAATATAGTCAGGCTAATATAAAAACATTACAGTAGGTTATATTATATACTAATTCGCGAAAAAACGAGATTTTATAATAACAGTGTAGGTACTACAATTGTTTACAAATAGTTAGGGAGTTCACAAGGTGTTGTATACTGTCGTACTGTTGTATGTCATAAACTTTAAACGGCGAGAACTATATTTAAGGAATTCGCAAGCTAACATAAAAGTTTTATTATGAAATTTCACACAATTAAAAAATAGTTGGTGGTGATTTCAAATCCTCTAAACATTTATTTAGCCGTTAAAACTTTACAACATACAACAATACGACAAGTACGACACCTTGTGAACCACCCAAGTGTATGGCGCACTTGAGAAAATGCCAAAGAAATTGTTGTAATATTAAAATAACGTTAGAATATTTTACTTAATTATATGGCTGCTAACCCTGTTGACGTTTGGACGTTTTTTGTGTAAAAAATGACGTTTTTTAACTTCCCAGTAATTTTTCTTTGTTACTAACTTTTATAAGTAGAAGTGATTTTGAATTATTTTCTTAATTATTCTTTACAATCTTTGTGTTTTGCTGCAGCTGCTTCCTCCAAAGGTTCTTTTTTGGATTCTTGAGGTTACGAGGCTTGCTGTAATGATGCAATTGCACATTAAAAGCCAAATCAGGTAGAGCCGATCTATTGCAGCAGGCACGCTCGCAAAAGCGTCAAAAAAGCTGTGCAGCATAAAACGCCAGAAAAAAGTAGGCGACTTGTTTAAGACTTCATTGAAAATGTACTGAGCGCAAAAAATACTGAAATATTAGGTCCATTCAATAACTTTTCCGGTAAGTACTTGCATCGAGAGCGTAAAAGAAAAATAGAGAGTAAAATTGAGAGCAAGAGAAAATTTTCAGAAAAAGTCATTGAACGCAAAACTAGTAAAACTTGCAACTTACACTGAGAAAAAGGATTAGTTTCGACAACTAAAGATATTAAGTTCCCGAATTTTGACAATATTTGGGAACTGTTACCAAGGATTGGGAACTATTACCATGGGTTGGTAATTATAACTAAATATATCAAAGCTTCTAATATTCACCTAGGTTGTACAAAATCGTTAACTTAGTTGAAGGGTTTGGTAAATACTAATAAATATTTTTTTGAAGCATATTTCTACAAATTCCATTCAACTTAACGTATGGTTCATAAAAGGATATCATTAAGCTCTGCTAATACAGATAAGCTTTCTCTCAACACATGTATTAGTCATAGTTACCAAATCTTAGTTGAGGCAACCACGATTTGGTTTGAGAGCGGAACATATTCATGCTTGTGAGCCACCCCTAAAGTATGCTGAGCGCTCTCTGAGCACATGGGTGTTTCACATACGAAGAGCGCCAGCTGAGCAATCCACACAGTCCCACTCATAGTTGCCAACTTGGTGCTTTAAGCACTAGATTTAGTGCTTTTTGAAAATTAAAACGCCTAAAAAAATTATTTAGTGCCTAGTGCCGTTTTTAGTGCTTTTTTCTGAACTATAATTACTCCGATATAGTTAAGACCTGAAATAATTTTTAAATATTTAAAGCTGTAGCAGCACTGCATTTACAAAAATCTACAAATTTAAATGCACTTAAATACAACCATGATTGATAAAAAGCTGAACTTGCAAACCCACCTTTTTCAATTCTATTCGCCTTGAAAATGCTAGTAGATATGCGAGTAAGTTAAGAATTCCCTTTTTTTCTTTTCTAATTATTTGTAAAAATTTGTATTTTTGTACCACCTGAGTAAAACACATCGTTTCTTGGTGACAAATCTGGCCGCACAATTGCTCTAGCAGTAGAATTTTGAGATATCCTAACCTCAAAGTGCCAAAATCACGGTTTTTGGCGCTATTTGAGGTTATATAATGAAAACATAAATTTGTTTGCTCATTTCTACTTAGGGCATGATCTTCGTTTGTTGGGATTCGATCTTTCTTTCTTGAGATCAATCAGTTTTAATGTGCAGTACTTCGGTGTTACGTCGTAAGCATAAGTCATTATAGTATGTGGCTTTTCAATCGTTGTGAGCGAAAAAGTTTTGTTTATTGATTTATGTATGCATTGTTGTAAATATTGTTAATTTTTTGGTTTTGTTAAATACATACAAACTTTTATGAAAAAAGCATTCATTGATTCAAAACAATTTGGTGCTTTTTGTGTGGTAAAACGCTTTTTTCCAAGTTTTTGGTGCTTTATGAAAATCAAAAGCTGGCAACTGTTGTGTGTCTACAAATAATTAGTAAGTAAGGTCAGTAATGTAAACTCACATGTGACTGCAATATTATATAATAACGTTCTTAACAACAACATTAAGAATGCAAGCAAAAAGAGTTATGACTCATATATATGTCACAAATTGTGCAAAGCGTTAGCGGCCACTTGCTTTGTAGAAACGATCATATTGCAGCTTGCACATGTGGGTCACTTTTGTGAAGACATTTGTAGTGTTGAATTTTCTCAAGACGATGAACTTTGTAGAGCAACTGTGAAACAATTGGTTTCACAATTGATATTTCTCAATATATGAGAAGTCAATATAAATTTAATTAGAGTAAAATAAAAGCAATGAGACTTTACTACAAGAACATTTAGAAAATGCAAAACTACAAAATAATAAATTATGATTGGTCACAATATGAAAATTTTGGAAAAGTAACTTAAAATTGGGAGTGTCTTAGATTTAAGGAGAAATGTAAAATTTATTATAAAAGCAGTGTTTGTGCACTGAAATAAACAGACTTGTTTTGAATCAAGAATCGGCGGCATTGCCTCTAACTTGTCTCATCAATAAAAATAGGCCTTGAGGCCATCATCCTTTTAGCGTGGCTCGCTTAAAAGCCAAAAGTTAAAAATACTTAAAAATAACAATATAAAAAAAATAAACATAACATGGCGATCCTGTCAAATAACTCTAATAAAAACAAATAAATTTAAATAAAAATTATATTCATGACGGAGCAAAAGAGGATCTGGACAACCTGTTTGAAGAGCTGAACCACCCAAGATCCTACGAAGAAGAAAATATAGATGGTGAATATGTCCCTGAAGCACTGACGACAACATCATCCACACCAATATCAAAATACGTCCCAACTCCGCTCACGGCTGGACCTAAGCCACTAACAATCGGAGCTTACAGAAAAAGACAAATTAAAAACGATAGCACAGAGCATAGTGCACCAAAACGAAAAACCCGAGGAGGTAAGGCGGTGAAACTACGAAGGAGCTTCACAGGGTAATTCCATTAGCTACTGGAGAGAACAAACGAAAATTAATTGCGGAACTAATAGAATTGAAGAAAAATCAACATAAACAAGATAACAACTGAGGCATGGTTTGGACAATTGTACTTCCAAAAGCCAAAGAACAGCAGCAGAAAATCACCACGAACAACAATAACAACAATGTCAACAATAGCAGCAGCAGCAACAATCTTTTAATAAATAATATAATAGGATTTATTTCGATTGTTTTTATATTAACTATAATCATATATTTTATAAATAAGCATTGTAAGACTTATGTTAAAAAACAAATAATTAAAAATATGAATTTTAATAATAGTGTTTAAAAAAAAATGTGTATATATATAAAATAACCTAAATATATACATAAAATAAAATTTGAAAATAATAATAATTAAATTTTACTTAAATGGAGATGGAAAAAGTTTGTAACAATATGCTTTTATCAAGGATGTTTTGGTGAAATGTTAAATAAATATTGTCTAAATGCAGAACAAAATAAAAGACATAGGAAAAGTTAAATATGTCATGTATAATAATAAAAGTTTCCATTATAGTTGTTTTAAATGTGATGCATGCAGAGTAAATATTGTAAAAAGAAAATTTGAAATTCTTGATTTAAGAATGGTATGTGCTTAATGTGCATAAAATACATATTTTAAAATAATATCTATCATAAATGAAAATTATACATAAGAAATAAATGGAAATAGAATATGCTTCGAAGATACTTGCGAATTTAAAAAAGAGTCCAAACAGAACTTATACAGACGAATACATAGACAAGACTTTAAATGACTTATTAAATGTACGACAGAAAATAGTAAAAAAATAAGAGGAGTATGAATTTGATTTGCTTTTAGGAAGAATAAAATTACTTTTAAAACACAAAGTTGACGAAGTTAAAACAAAAATGTCCAAATTTGATTTAGTAACTGCTTCCAAGCTAATTCCGGAATTTCAAGGGGTTTCGTGAAGTAAACAATTACCTTGGTTTAATTGAATTCTATCACGATACCTTAGAGAATGAGCAGCAGAAACAGTTATTAATTAAACTCGTTTTAGCTACAAAGCTATCAGAAAAAGTAAAAAATAAAATTCTGACAGAAGCCAAGCCTACTTTATTTGAAGACTTTAAAAAACTACTCAAACAAACATATAAATCATATAAAACAACCTCAAAAATTCACAGTGAATTATCACAAACAAATCAAAGAGGTTTGAATGTGAATACTTTTGGGTCTAAAATAGAGAACTTGTTAGCATCATTAAATGAATTGCAGATAAGTGAACAAGGTGAAACAAATAGAGAAATAATAGTTAAACTTAATGACCAAATTGGTTTGACAACTTTCAAGAATAGTTTAAGCCATTTAAATCAGTAGTTTTGACGGCAAGACCAACAAAACTATCTGACGCAATTAAAATAGCTTTAGAAGTAGAAACAAAACCTAATCAGAATAATTTTGTACATGTAGCCACAAGAAATAGAAGAAATTTTACGAGCAATTACAGGTCCTATAATAATAATAGAAATTTCAATAATGATAGAGAACAGAGAAATAATGAACATAGCACTAGAAACTCAAATAATAATTACAGTAGGAATGTCAGCCATAATAGAAATAACACTATTAATAGAGGGTTTAATAATAACAGAGGTGGAAGTAATAATTATGGTAGAAATAAAAGAAATAATAACCAAGGAAACAGAGGTTATAATAATAACAATAAGGATGGCAACCAGGGAAACGGGGGTACCCCCGGTGGCGAAAAACCGGGGAGTACTCAACAAAGAAAGTAATTAGTGTAAGTAAAAATGAAGAACTTTCAAATTATATTAGAGTTAAAATAGGTAATAACGTTATATCATTATTAATTGATACAGGTGCAGATATATCATTATTAAAAGAAAATTTAGCTAATAGTTATATAGCAGTGACATTTGTCAAATAAGCGCAATAAATGGGGGAATGACAAATTCGTTAAGAGTTGCAAAAATTAAGCTATTATGGGAAGATAAGGAAATAGTACATAAATTTCACATAATGTTGGAAAATTCAAATTTATTAGCAGATGGAATATTAGGTAGTGATTTCTATACAGAGCGTAGCTGTAAGATTGATTATGAAACGTATACACTAACAATACCGCAAGTTGATGATGATGATCTGATAATACCAATGAATATGCAAACGAAAACAGTTAAAAACATAAAAATATCTCCAAGAACAGAAACAGTAATAGCTGTAGATATTGATGTAGATGAAGAAAGCGTAATATGTGGGAAAGAAATAAGAAAAGGGATATTTGTTGCAAATACCATTATTCCATCAGAAGGAATAACGCATATAAAATTTTTTAATACAACTGAAAAGGAAGTAAATATATCAAAAATAACACTAAGTATAGATAAGCTTAAAAATTATGACATACTACATTTCAAAAATACTTTAACCGATGAAAGTAGGTTC